CGAACATTAAAAATCACAAACATGATCTCTGCTGTGTAGAGCCTCATGTATGTTAGCAGTTGATAAAAAAAAACACTGAAATGACAAAATTCAGTTAATTTTCATAAGCAGGTTTTCCAGAAGTCTTTGGTGAATAAACACCTTTTTTTTTGTAATTACCAATTAAAATTCTTCAGCGTTGTTGGTGTTCTAAGGAACTCATTTTTAGAAGCATTATAGTTCATCCATTTTCGCATGCCCATTTTCTTCCATATTCAACACCTCTGAAATTGAAATGCTTCCTGACATTGGCCTAGCAGCTTTTATGACAATTACGTCTGCTTTAATAATTCTGATTACATTCAGCTGCAAACCATTACAATCTAAAGTGATACTAGATTAAATGAGAGAGAAATTAATCTCTCCCCACCACGTCTGTACTGTGGGTACCCATGCTTCTTGTTGCTCTCTAGCCCAAGGCCTTTATTTCAAAGTCTTACAATGACCGCTCCAGGTCCTTCTCTTCTGCCCAAATTCCTACCAGCAGGAAAAGAAAAAAGTTCAAAGAAAAAGGAGTTAAAATCAAATGGAAATTTTGTGTTAAAAACTTGAGAGGTGTCAACAGACAGGTCTGCTTGTGTTCGGCAGGCCAGCTGAGGTGGAGGGCAGGGCAGTCAGAGTAGAAAAGCACTCATTCTGAGCCTCTACATACTGATGCAAGCATTCCATTCCCATGAAAAAGGAGAGAACCGGTGGAATCCTTATATATTGATCATTATAAGAAGTACACTACTTAAAATTAGTCCATGACTAGAAATTAGAGAAATGTCAGATGGTAACTCTAAACTTAAGGCATGAAGGGAAATTTTAGTAAATGGGAGAAATTTGGTTACTCATTAGCAACAAGAAAATTAGCCTTTCCTCCCCAAGAGCTAATCGTTTGTAGAAATTTTTCAGTGTTTCTGGATATTGACATTAGATTGTGAAGGTCAGAGGAGAGCTCCATGGTTTACTGTTTTATTTCCCCAGTCCACTTGAATTGTGCGCCAATTTGAATGAAGGCTGAGTGCCATGACAGGTGAGGAGATATTGTGTAGGTAGAGACTCAGCCGTCATAACACACAGGTTTTAACCTGAAGTCCTTAAAAAAAGGAATGTATTTATTTCAAGCTACTTTGTTATTTATATGTTTTGAAGATTTTTTTTTGAAGATTTACTTATTTTTATTGTAAAGTCAGATACACAGAGAAGAGGAGAGGCAGGGAAGAAGAGCTTCTATTTGATGATTTACTCTTCAAGTAGCCGAAATGGCTAGAACTGAGCCAATCTGAAGCCAGGAGTCAGGAGCTTCTTCTGAGTCTCCCACGTGGGTGTAGGCTTTGGGCTGTCCTCAACTGCTTTCCCAGGCCACAAGCAGGGAGTTGGAAGGGAAGTGAGGCTGCTGGGATTAAAATCAGCAATCACATGGGATCCTGGTGTATGCCAGGTGAGGACTTCAGCTGTAGGCTACCGTGCTGGGCCCCTTGATGATTTATTTAATTTTTTTTAAAGTTGCAGAGATTAGGAGAGACAAAGAACAAGACCTGCCATCCTCTAGTTTACTCCCCGAATGGTCACGGCAGTCATAGCTGTGAAGCCAGGAGCCAGGAGCTTCTTCTGGGCCTCCCATGTGGAGGCAGAGGTTTAGGGACTTGGGAAATCCTCCGCTGTTTTCCCAGACCATAAACAGATTAAATCTAAACAATCTTGCTTCTTTATTTCCATTTAGAAATTACAAAACAAATATATTATGAATAGAGGACTCAAAATCATTGAAAAACACTACAGTTTTCAACTAATTCCTTTGCTTACTGAATAAAATTTCAGAAGGAGTGATGAAAATATAACAACAAATATATAACAACGTATCTTGGGCTGGTACCATGGCAAAGTACGCTAAGCCTCTGTCTGACACGCCGGCATCCCATGTAGGCATTGGTTCAAGTCCTAGCTCTTCCACTTTAAATCGCATGGATTTGGAAGTACAATTCAATGGTGACTGAAAATTTTTCACAATTAAAGCTGAAATAATTTAAGATGTTCATGAGGAACTGTGTGAATATTTCTAAAAATGGATTTTGTTTTATGTTTATCTGTGATTTGGAATTTGTTTTACCCTTACCTGAGAATGTTAATTATTTTGTTTTATGAATCAATGTGTGGAAAAATAAATGAACAAAAAGCCAAATAAATAATATTCATTGTTTTTGAAGTCAGATTTATAGTACCAGTTTCTAAAAGTTGCTATCATAGTATGCTTACCTTTATTTACAAAATATTTCAAAAAGCACATTTCGAGAGAGTATACTAATTTGAAATAATGGAATACAAAATGTGCTGTGTTTATTATATTGGCTCATTTAATAGTATGAGGCAAATAAAATTATAGGATAATGAATATGTGTCTGGTGGACTTAGATGCTAGGGATTCATTTTCAGAAATACAGTCTTAAGTGGTAAAATCTTGAAAATCCCCAGCAAATGAGCTTCCTTAAATGGAGCTGGCTTTGTAGATGGGTAAATATGTCATATTGCTTATTGCTTTCCTATTGCTTTGCTGAGGATTAGCCATTCATATTTTTATTTTTGAAGACTGATTCATAAAAACAACAGATGCATGTTAGTGGAATGCCTTAATGTTAAAATGCTTGCAATGGGAAAAACCCATGTTTAAGAGATACTGTCTGCCTCATTTAAGATCTGTATTGTGCAAAGCCCTTTGGTAGACTTTCAAATGTGGAAATAAAATTTTACATAATTTGAAATTAATGGGAAGTCCAGTTTTGATTTAAAAAATCTATTATCACCTAATCAGAAGTTAATTATCTATTCTATTAATAAAAACACTGCTCCTTAGATCCAAGAGAAAGTGTCCTGCTGAAATGTATTTGACGGAATAGGTGTATCTGTTGCTTCAGCAGAGCAGAAGGGATTTATACCAGCAAGGTTATTAAACTGTAATTTTAAAGTGATAAGCTTACAACTGATGATCTACCTATTTATGGAACTTTGAGAAAGTTTAACGTACATGCTCAAATGCACACTGACAAGCCAACGTAATTTAATTGGAAAGTAGAGTGACGTGTACCTCTATGCAAGTTAGAAAGATAGCTTTGAAAAGTGAATAGATGGAAACCACTCCGAGCAATGTATTTATTCTTTTCCTGGTAAATTTCTACAATACACCCCACCAAATTACACTAGCACCTGTCTTTTCTGGTACTGTTCTTCAGGTGTTCATGCAGGCACTCTACGGTGATCAGCATGCCTTCGACACCTTCTCCCAACCCTCTAAGTAGCCCTGTTTTTGACAGTGGAAAAAGAAGAAGAATGTGTTTTTATCTGGTGATAGTTCTCCACGCATAAACTGAATTCCCCCACTAATTTCAAATTTGTGCATTGTGTTTGATGGTTATCTTTTTAAGCAGATGTGTAAGTGCTAATTTTTTTTCTTGCTTTATATCTTAAAGCTATTATATTGTTGTCAGAAGAAATTTTTCTTTTTCAGGATAGCAGGTCAGTAACTTGACTCAAATGATAAAACTTTATCATTTACAGACATTTTATTTCTTCTGCAAAATACTGCAGCTACACATTCCTAATAATGTAATGCGGGGAAATGCTCGAAATAGAGCACAGAATTACTCAAGGGGACATATAACAGTGCAGCGTAAACTGACATGTCTTCGTGTAGAGACATAGTGCAGTATACAGCCCTGCATCCAGACCAAAGAAGGACTTCCTGGGAAACTGTTAAACATAGCTTGACCGTAGAATGCCGGACTCTCTGACAGTGTCCATGCCTACAGTGTCGGGAAACACTTCAATAGTGGAATGATGGACTTATGACCGTTCAAGAAGAACTACCCGCTGTAATACTAGAGGGGAAATGAGTAGGTAGGGGAGAAGACCTAGGGGGCAGGAAATTCCACAGCCTATAAAATTGTATCATAAAATAATAATAATAATTTAAAAATGAGACAAAAAATAAATAGAGCACAGACGTAAGAATTCTAAAAACTGATGAATCCAAGACTAAACCTTGTATAACTGAGAGGTCTCAGCACCTCTTTTGTAATTTAGAGGTCAGTTGCCTCATTCAGAGTATAAAAGCCAATAATAGATTCCCTGTTTATATTAGTCAGGGATGCTAGGAAAATGAAATAAAATCATGGGAATTATAACACTTTGAAAACTATAACACTCTTTAAAATGCATATTTGTGTGACTACATATACATACTGACAAGGAATTAACAAAATATTTTTATTTAGTTTGTGTCTTGAGATCTCATTCCTCTTTAGAAAAGTTTGGAGAAAGAAGCAGGCTACTGTATTATAACATTAGAGTTTTTGGTAAGAAATAGAGTACATTCCATAATATGCAATTTGTCTTCTTTGAAAGATTGGTAGAATTTCACTGGACTTTGAAGAAACGTAGTCTCATACACTTGATTTTACATGCTGCCTGAAGTCTTTTTTTAACTACATGATTTCATAAACGTTAGCTATTTTGTTCTTGTTTCATTTGTAAAAAATTGCTGTGCTTCTGGGGGCTCCAAGTGCAATTGACACAAATGCATTGTGTCAAAATTAACTTCACATCAGAACTGCACACGCCCTCCAAAATAGGAGGGACAGAAAAGCAACACTCTATAAAGACAAAGTCACATACTATGATGTGTTCTTCCACATGAGTGAGCAAAAGCATGAGCCTTGAGTGATGGAAGCGTTGGCTGAAACATTGCACTGCACTGTATGTAGCACAGAGAAACAATCCTAGGTCTTAAGCTTTTCCATTTTCTAAGTGATATGAATTTAGTATTGAATTGTCATTGTGTACATAGAATTAAATAGACATTATACATTAAAGATAGTATTGAGCATTAGAAAAGGACATGACGTTATAAAAAAAAACATGGTGATTTATTAGGATACATTTTTTAAAAATCTGACCCCTCTGCCTCTGCTTTCCCTTTTAAGGCTTCTTCACCTGCAAGAACTGATCTTCCCGAGTTCTTTGTTGCTTCCTATAAGTGGCCTGGATGGACTCATGGGCCATTGGACCAAAAAAACTGTGCCGCATCCTGGGCATTTTCCACTGCAAGTAATAAAGTTATTTTAATTACTTCCTTACAAATATAGCCTTGGACTCTAGGGCCTGAGATTAATGAAAAGGTTTTTGGAATTACAGTATTTGAATATTAACATATGGTCAATTAAAGTCCTAATTTGAGCACAGAAAGCAACCCGAAGATTATTTCAGTTTGATTATTAGTCTGGAAATTGTTCTTATTTTTACCTTCTAATTTTAAATAGATGTTCATGAAAAGGGCTACGAAGTAAAGGTTGCCAATATTTGTTTGTCATTTGAAAGTTAACCAGATAATAAATTTATGTGTGCTTTTCTTTCCCTGTTATATTATCTCTATTTCTAATATTCATATATGTGCCCATATAATTCTTACATTCTTTTCTCTTTATAAGTTTTTATTTTTAGGATTTTTTTTTATTGCAAAGTCAGATATACAGAGAGGAGGAGAGACAGAGAGGAAGATCTTCCATCCAATGATTCACTCCCCAAGTGACCGCACTGGCCGTAGCTGTGCCAATCTGAAGCCAGGAGCAAGGAACTTCCTCCAGGACTTCCTCATAGGTGCAGGGTCCCAAGGCTTTGAGCCATCCTCTGCTGCTTTCCCACACCACAAGCAGGGAGCTGGATGTGAAGTGGAGCAGCCGGGAGATAAATGGGCATCCATATAGGATTCCGTTTGGATGCAAGGGGATGACTTTAGCCACTAGGCTACCACACTGAGCCCTGTACACAATCTGCTTCAATGATGATTGGCCGCTATCATGATCTTTATGGAAGTGTACCCGTAGGTAATTCTAAAACGCTCAAAAGCAATTTAAAGCAATTATAAGCATTACGACATACGTACACACACTCTTAGGGGAACTAGCTCTGAAGGATGGCACTTTGAGAGATGGAAATATTGTTCATATTTTTTTCTGGTTACTCCATAGCATCAGTGCCACCAGCCAAGGAATGCCTAGGGCAGAACCGCAATGTTGACCCAGCTCACCCATGAAGTTGATGTATCTGTTCATTTTGCAATTAATGCATCTACCTCTCCAGAATAAATTCTTTCTGGCTGTGTGATATTTGTTTTTATTCTATTCAGATCAATATGGGGACCATTTTGGTTCTAGTGTTAGTTGATTAGGGAGAGATTTAAACAAATAGATCATTTTCCTTGTTATATTCCTGTGGTCAATGGGCTATGCGCTCTGTGATGTATAAGCATTTTGCCTTAAATTTACCTTAGCGTGGTATTTCTGAAGGTATCCAACGAGTCATTATTCGTGAACTTCTGAGGTCAGTCAGCCAGGTTGACATGGACGCATTTGATATGCCCAGGGTAACAACTGCGCAGGTGGCACCAGCTCCAGGCGCAGTCTGACTTGTCGTCACTCACTCGCTAGAACCCCAGAGGGAAGGTGGAACACTTGTTGTGGTTTCAGAAGATATATCCTTACATCCTTGTACTCAGTGTGATAAATCAGACTGAAGTATGTGTGTGCACACTAAATTAAGGGGAGACAAAGTAAGTTCCATTCAAGCTGTAAAAAATAATATTAGGAAGTAGGTGAACAATGAAAAATGACTCAGAAAAAGTGAAAGCTATAAAATGGAACAAACAACACATAAAACATATACATATTGAAAATAATTATGTAATCAAAATTCAAGCTACTTATCAGAAGTTGAAGTGAAGATGTTTAGAACAATGGGTGCGATACGTAACACTGAATAAATTTGGACACAGTATAAAATAACCAGGAAAAAAATACTGTGTTTTTCTGAAAAAAAAAAAACAATAAAAGATTTCCAGATGAGAGTGGAAAGCAATTGACTGAACTGAGTCATTCTTAAATCTTCTGACCTTTTCTAAATATTTCAATAAACTTGCACCAAGCCTGCATGGTGATTCAGAAATGTCTGTATAAGAACAACATGTTGCATAACCACAGGATTTAAAACAGTTATACTTTACTTAAAACCTACAGACTGCTGAAACTGGAAGAGATTATAAAGGTGCCGTTCTGAAGCATTGGTTTTCACAAAAGTGAAATACCTTAACCGAGCCCAAACAATGAGAAGTATCAGAAATGTTCTGGAGACTTGACTTCAACTCCTTAACCACAGTTTTCCCTGCATTGTAAAAATATTTTGTGAACAAAAGAACAACTAGACTATAGAATACAAAAGAACATGTGATGAGAGAAATCTTCGATTGCATTTGTGCAGTGGAGGTATATGAAAATAGAATAAAAATCACAACAGAAAGTATGACACAGATAGACTTGTTGGAATGTGCACATATGCTAACATTATTTGGACTTCCTTTCAAATTGCACATAGTTGGAAAGACTAGTTTGGAGGTCCAAAATAATTAGAAATATCATGTGTCATTTGAATATTAATAACTATTCTACTTGAAACAGGTGTGGCAGCTGATTGAATAGCAATTCAATCGAATGGTCGATACACAGCCAATTTGTCTCCTCAGAATTTAATCTCTTGCTGTGCCAAGAACCGTCATGGATGCAACAGTGGAAGTGTCGCTAGGGCTTGGTGGTACCCGAGAAAACGTGGGTAAATAAATAGCTGCTTAATATGGGCTTCTAGGATTTTTATGAGTGCCATCTAGGGATAGGTTAAAGAAAAAAAATGCATTTAAAGCTTTAAATAACTATAACAATTATTACACCTTAATCACAAATGCATATGTTATACTTGAGTATATACTGCATTTGGTGACTCTCAGGGATATAATGATTGGAAATAGTTATTGATGAATGTATAGTTAGCTTGATGGATTAGTGTGATTTTACTTTCAAAGGTTCTCACAAACATTTTCTCCTATTGATCTGTGCCAAGTGGTTCTACTGCAACCCCAAGAGGGAATTGACCACTGTAGCTGATAACTCTGTTGTGCCTTTATTGCTCAGGCTGAAGAGTATACAATGCCAGGTGAAACTTAGATCACAAAATTAAAAGAAAAAAAATAACGAAGTAGTTTACGCCAGTGTCATTAATTGCTCTCACTTAATTTGTAGAGGACTGGCAGTTTGGGTTTCCTTACTCTCATGTAGGATGATGGCTATACAGTGTATATTCTGTCTATTTTAATACCTCATCTACTTAATAGTTGAGTTTCTCATCTTAGGAAACTTCAGCTGACAGTCACTGGTATAATGTATACTGTTCAGCTGTTCGTACCCATTCATGTGGTAGATCTGCCATAAACAGGCGGCTTGAAAGAGTATAGGTGGTAACTTCTTTCCTTTTTTCATATATTATGCCTAATAAATGGGTAACTTCAAGGGGTAACTTGAGAAGTTATCTTCTTGGCATAGTAGCATTTGGATGGCTTCATTTTAAAAAAGATTTATTTACTTTTATTGGAATGTTAGATTTACAGGAGAAACAGAAAGAAAAGATCTGTCCACTGATTCACTTCCCAAGTGGCCACAATGACTGGAGCTGAGCTAATCTGAAGCTTGGAGTCAGAGCTTCTTTTGGGTCTCCCACATGGGTGCAGGGTCCCAAGGCTTTGTCTGTCCTCTACTGCTTTCCCAGGCTACAATCAGGGAGGTAGATGGGAAGTTGGGCAACTGGGACATGAACCAGTGCCCATATGGGATCCTGGCCCATGCAAGGCAAGGACTAAGGCCCCTAGGTCACCAGTCAAAGCCCAAATGGCTTCTGTTTTATATAGGGATTATAATAAATAAATACAAAGCATTATAGGAGCTTAAACTATAACTTTTTGTTGAGACCAAACTAAATCTCATTGTGTGAGTCTGGTTACATAATCACAACTTTATGGCAACTTAAGCCTCACACAGAAGTTCTGTAGTTTTGAAGTCCCAGAGTAAGGAGATGGTTGATTCTGTTCCTGATATGGATATTGATCCTGGGTGCGAATTGCCACATTTTCTTGGTCTCCTCACACAGTGCTGGTTTCAAGACTTCATTTAACCCTAATCATCACCTCCCAATGCCATCACATGGAATGGTATGTCTTCAAAATGTAAATTTTTGAATTACATAATCAATACATAGCATGCACTATTTAGTACAAATAGAATGCACTTAACATGTTTTTCTAAGATGTATTTTCTTTTTAAAAGATTTATCTATTTTTATTGGGAAGGCAGATTTATAGATAAGAGAGACAGAAAAAAACCTTCCATCTGCTGGTTCATTCCACAAGTGGCTGCAGCAGCCGGAGCTGAGCTGACTCGAAACCAGGAACCTGGAGCCTCTTCTAGGTCTCCCACACAGGTGCAGGGTCCCAAGGTTTTCAGCCGTCTTCGACTGTTTTCCCAGGCCACAAGCAGAGAGCTGGATGGGAAGTAGGACAACTTATGCTCACTTTCAGAGTTCAAAAATCAAAGACATATTTATTCTTTGTGTAATATGTATGTATAAAATGTATACTTTATTAACTTTTAGTGTTATATGGATATTAGCATTAAACCATTTTCCTGAAGTACCATGAGTTTCATATGTGTAATAATTTGTGTTTATGGGAAGTATCTAATAACAATAAAAAGCTAAATTCCAAAATTTGCATGATTTATTTTAATGTACTCTAATTATCAAATTCACTATTTGATAGGTTGATTCTTCTACATTATAATCATGTATAAAGATTAAAGTAATATTGTTTTGGTATATATATATATATAACCAAAGAATTTATTTGCAGACATTTTTTACCTTCAATATATATTTCAATAAAATTATTAAAAGTAGATTGAAGGGGTCCAGTGCAATAGCCTACAGGTAAAGTCCTCACCTTGCACATACTGGGATCCCATATGGATGCCAATTCTGATCCTGGTGGCCCTGCTTCCCATTCAGCTCTCTGCTTGTGGCCTGGGAAAGCAATTGAGGACAGCCAAAAGCCTTGGGACCCTGTGTCTGTGTGGGAGATTAGGAAGAAGCTCCTGGCTCCTTGCTTCAGATTGGTGCAGCACCAGCCGTTGCGGCCACTTAGGGAGTGAAAGATCAGATGGAAGACTTTCCTCTCTGTCTCTCCTCCTCTCTGTATATCTGCCTTTCCAATAAAAATTAATAAATCTTTAAAAACATAGATTGAGGCAAGATATTTTAAATGTAAAGATTAAATGAGATAAGGGTTGGGAGAAATGTAATGTCAGTTACTGTGATGGAATCAATTTATGTTTTGAAATTTTTGAAGTTAGGATAATTTGTGCATGTTTAATTCAACGAAATTGAGTATAGCCAGGGTAATATGCATTTTTCTAAATATTACTTCGCCTCTGTTTATTCCACAAAGACTTGTTTCCCATGCATGCTATCCACTTTTCAAGGACCAAAACATCGCCAATAATAGCTGTGCCATGACAAGTAAGGCTGATGGGAGGGGAAGACGTCATGCCACAAAACCATGCCCCAATAACATGGAGAAGTCCACCAGGATCTACCAGTGTTCTCCTCCATATACAATCTCCTCCAATGTAAGTAAAAATGGCAAAAATTAGACATGACTGGTTTCTGAAACATAGATAGCCTGCAGTTGTTAAAACTACCAAATTCTGATGTGAACATTGATGTGTACTTTTTGATAACTTACATTGTCCCTGAAAGATTTTCAGTTTAGGTACAAATTCTTACTTATGTAATAAGGTTAGGATTAGGTTACGTTTAAAAAGTCCCTTGGAAATAATTTTTTAAACTTTGTTTTATGATGCATGTATACATCATAAATAAAATACATACAAATGTAAATACATATATTTGTATGTAGTTGACAAAAGCTAGGCCAAATCCTTGTTCACTGACTGCTTGGTGTAATAGCTTATTTTAGCAATCCTTTTGCCATCGTCTACAAAATAATTGGTGTGAACATAGCCACATGATAAAAATACTCCTTTGAATTTGTCATGTTAACAGCAAAGGCAAATTTTACTCCAGTATATCAATTTTCCTAGGTCCTCTCATTTTCAAAAATATGTCAACCTTCAGTGCTTTTAAAATTATCTTCAGAGTATATTCTAGTATTCTTATCATGACAGATAGACCTTTTATGAGTTGATTCTGATCTGCTGTTTTCATGGACATAGTTCCTGCTAGCATCTGGTGCCTCTCCCTGCTCATGGGTCTTCTGAAATAGCATTCATCTCTGTTCCCAGGGGTAATATGCTCCTTATTGTGTCTCTTCTCAGCAAGGGGATGCTTTCCCTGTCCCAGTGCTTATCCCCCATCCAGTTCATTGTAGCTCATCCACTCCACTATTGCAGCTCATTAAATAAAAAATGAATGCCAAAGCAGAGGTCAAATTTCCAACATCTCTGTGAATTTTTCCTTGACTTTTAGGATAAATTCTTCCGCTCTGCCCCACTTTACTTTTGCTTGTATTCATGGCATTTTGGCCTTGTTTGTATACTTACATTTATTATATAATCATACGATTTATTATGCATTGGTTACAAGCCAATTGTAAGCAGTTGAGGATGAGCATGTCATAATTTCTGTTTTGTAGTTTGTGCTCTGTGCTCAAAAAATTAAGGAATTGCTTGCGTGTCTACTTACACATTGGGTAGCAATACAAAAATATTTGACTGAAACCAGTAAGGAACCTCACAAAACAGCCTTTGCAATAGTAATTATACTCAAAAGATTGGGTAAACTCAATCTCCCCTGGCTGAACATGATTTTGTCTTACATTGGTTATTTTCTCTTTGTCATCATCAAAAATCATCACTTATTACTTCAAAACTATTTTATGATAAAAGCAATAGCATGAATTGGCACATGCTATCTTTAGCAACTTCAGAAATGTAATACTTCAGTTGTGATTATTTAAAATCATTACTTTAAATTTTTTTTAGAATTTTAATTGAAAGGCAGATTTACAGAGATAAGGAGAGACAATTAAAAGCATTATTAAGAGTGAATTTCAATTGGTCAAGAAACTTTAAATTACATAAGACCTAAATTGATTTACAGCAGCCTACTATTATATAAAAATTGTAAGTTTGATATATTCTGAGAGGCATGATATGTATATATTTCTCTCTCCAGGAAACTGAGATAATGAGAGAAATACTGCAAAATGAACCAGTTCAAGGTAAAGTTGGGTGAGATATGCTTTTTTCTACTCATTCTTAGTAGACAACATTGTTTAGTTTTTACTAAAAAGGATTTATTAAATTCAGTGAAAGAATTTGATAAATTTGTTAAAAGGAACAAAAATTTTGTTAAAAGAATTCATTAGTCATTCAGTAGCACATTATTTGCCTTCATGGTGTTATTAATTTCTTTTTTTGCTCCCTGTTGTTGATTTTGTTTTGTGGCTTCTCATTTAAGGGGATGTATAGTAACTGTGTAATGGAGACTGTCATATCCTGATGTGATGCAGTATGCATCTCTACTTCCAGACAAAGATGGACTCCCAATGAAACTGTTTACTATGTCTTGACAATAGGATGCTGGTCTCTCTGCCATTGCCCATACCTTCAATGATGGACACATGACTGTGTGTGAAGAACTATACAATAGTAAAAATATAGGGGAACTCAGTGAGCGGGAGGGGATAAGGGAAATTCCAGGGCCTATGGAACTGTATCATAAAATGATAATAACAAAAAGAAGTAAAAATAAAAACAGAATTCAAGACTTTTACAAAAGATTTGTTTTAATTTTATTTGAAAAGCAGAGTTATAGAAGGAGAATGAGCGATTTTCCATCCACTAGTTCAATGCTCATATAGCTGAGGTGGTCAGAGCAAAGTTGGTCCAAAACCAGGACCCGGAAGCTTCATCCAGGTTTCTCACATTGGTTTAGGTGTCCAAGCACCTGGACGAATTTCTCCTGCTTTTCCAGGCACGTTACACAGTGAGCTACATTGGAAGTTGCATGTATGGATCTCGAGCCAGCATAGGTATGGGATGCTGACCCCACAGTAAAGGCTTAGCTTGTTATGCCATCAACCCACAATTCAATACTTCAAAAATCAGTGCAGTCACGGGAGATATTCTCATGTTATTAAGAAGACAGTCTCAGTCCCGACGCAATAGCCTAGCGGCTGAAGTCTTCACATTGCACACACCAGGATCTCATATGGGCGCCAGCTCTAATCCCGGCAGTCCAACTTTCCTTCCAGCTCCTTGCTTGTGGCCTGGGAAAGCAGCTGAGGATGGCCCAAAGTCTTGGGACCCTGCACCTGTGTGGGAGACCCAGAATAGGATCCAGGCTCCTGGCTACAGATCAGCTTCGGCTGTTGCACCGTTGTGGCTGCTTGACGAGTGAGTCATTGGACAGAAGATCTTCCTCTCTCTTTCCTGCTCTCTGTATATCTAACTTTTCAATAAAAATCTAATAAATCTTTTGTTAAGAAAAAGAAGGTAGTTGCATTTTATAAATTGAACTCTTAAATATTAATGCCAAATTTAATGGAAGTCAGCTAAATCTTTCCAAAGTGTTCAGACTGAAACCTAATCATGTAGTCAAACATGAAATTTTAAATGATTAATTTGTAATGGAGTTCATTTTATTACTTCACTTATGTTTAAGAATTATACATAATAGTGGATATCTTTTTTTAACTGTCAATTCTAATGAGTAAGGTAATGGATTGAGACCAATTTTAGAATTAATAGTAGCAGCAATGCAGATGATTTATTTTTCACTCAGTTCAAAATAAATCTACAAATCAGCATGCTTTTTGTGTCTTACAAAAGGGGTTTGCATTGGAACAATTTCCAAAATGTATTGTTGGTAGCAAACTATCAAAATAAGGCAATACAATGAGTTGCTATACATTGATTTGTAGCTATTTATTTTACTTTTATTTACTTATTTTTTTCTTTTTTGTATCATCTGCATAGTTGAGACTGATGCATGTCCCTTGGGGTGGGGAGGCTCAGGTACGGAGGAGAGTTGGTGGGATACATGTTTCAGTTTTATTTTCTCCCATGTCCACAGGGGAGGTGAGGGAGAGGGCTGCTCCTTGCTGTCTAACTACAATAGCACCTAGGGATAGGGGAAGGTCATTTCAAAACACTGTAGAGACCCTGGCCTGGGGAAGAGTGTTCTGAGGGTGATACTTGAGTGACTTGGATAGTTCTAAGTTGTTGGTTTCATTGCTGCAGTGTTGATATTTTTTTTCCAAGATCTGTTTGTTGGCAAGTTCCATCTTTGATAGATTCACAGACCCTGGAACTTACTGCAAAGTTTGGGGAGGATAATGGTCCCACCTGTGCTCTTTTTCATCCTCTGACAAGGCAGTTGATGCCCTATACTGGCCTAGATGAGTAGCTGACTATCATGTCCTCCGTTTGCCTTTGGACACGCTGTCCATTGCATAGGCAACAGCAACTGAAGAGGCCCATTCCAACTACACGCACTCCAAGGCCAACCATATGTCCTGTGATTTTTCCAGGTTGCCAGAGTCTGAGCCCAGCAGTTTAGTTGGAGAGTCCCCCAAGAAACCTCACCAGCCAATGCACATATCCATAGATGCAGCTGCCTGGTCAGTTCTGCCTAACCCCATATCTCACACAAACCACTGGGTGCTACAACCCAGCCCAGTCAGCCCTCCACAGACCTGTTCCTCATGCATACCTGTGGGTACTCTGTCTGAGTAGGGGTTATCCCTAATAATCCCCAGCAGGCCCAATTCCAGCCCCAGTTTTTGAGTGTGCCAGTCTCTGCTGCAGCCTAGTCCAGCCTAGCCCAGCCTAGCCAAGTATCCCGTTTGGCTCTCATGCACACCTTGAGTGAGATTTCATTTCTGGAGGCAAATGCGGTTCTTGGCATGGTAGTTAGGACACTGCTTGGAATGCCCTGATCCTATAACCAGAATGCTTATGTTCAAGTCCTGACTTTACTCCCAATTCCAGTTCCTGCTCATGTACATCGTGAAAGCAACAGATGATGGCTCCCTCACATGGAAACTAGTAACGTGTCTCCAGCTTTCCCTGGCCTGGCTATTGTGGGCACTGGGGAAGAGAATTAGTGGAAGGAAGATCTTGTTTTCTCTCTCTCATGATCTCTGACTTTCAAATTAATTTTTAAAATTAAAAACAATTTCATTGCAGTGCTTTCTTCATCTGTAAGACACACATATACACACCCTACCCCTTCACTCATATACATAGAGACAGAGTGATTGACTTAGAGATCTCCCACCCAGTGTTCACTGCCAAGGGCTACAACAGTAAGGGCTGGAACAAAACACAGTTGAGAACGGCAGTTGAATCCAGGTCTCCCACATGGATAACAGAGATCCAACTCCCCGGGCTATCTCATGTTGTCTCTCAGGGCTTGAGTTAGCAGAGACTTGCAGAAATTTGATTCTAATCACTGCAGTTTGGTGTGTGGATGTCTCAAGCACTATCTTAATTGCTAGGTCAACAGGTGCCTCTGATGATACTGCTTCTTGTGGAACTTTTGAACTTTATTTTTCACCACATACATCCGTAAGAATAAATACTGAAGGCATCTTCCCTATAATATACTGCCTTTAAATTCATGAAATAAAACACAATGATCCCTAAAATTTGAATATGGATTGTGAATACTCAGAAATCCAAAATAATGTGATCAATGCTTTTATGAATACTGAATTACTTAGTATGGGTTTAACATTATAAAATGAACTGTGAACTTATTATAATGTTGGAAGAATTTTGTTGATCACTATCATCTTGCGTCATTTATTATGATGGTAGTGATTACACTAAGGCACTCTGGATTTACACTTGATCTTAGCCAAAAGGCCGAGAAGCGATGGCACTCCGGATTTAATTTGAAAAATCCTGAGACTTACAAAAAACTTAAAGAGTGAAGTTTTTTTTTTCTCCTTAGAGCCTTGTAATTTGTAGGTTGTTTTAAGTTAGAGATTGTATATTTAATTTTAATGTATGTCACATGGTGCAGATGTGAAAATTTTGAAAGAGCATCTAAACATTTTCAAAATTCCAACCTTGGAAATTGAGTCTTAGATGACTTAGGACAATTTATTTAATTCTTTCAAATCTCCAGATCATTTAACTACCTTCTCAATTGCATTTTTTCTTTCCCTCTAATATTTCAATCTTTCAAAAGAAATTTGGATCTTCATCCTTGTTGTTGAGATACTTTAGGTCTACTTTATGATGATGCGCTTAAATAAATTTCATTCAATGCATCAGAAATGGACTTTGAATTACTTGTGATACTCCTCAAAATTTTGTTAGCAGTATTTTTTCTTTTTATTATTGTTATTATCATCATCATCATCATTTTATAATACAGTTCCATAGGCCCTGGAATTTTCCTTAAACGCTCCACAATTCCTTCCCACCTCACTGAGTTCCCCTATACCATCATGTGTCCATCACTGCAGGCATGGGCAATGGCAGAGAGACCAGCATCCTATTGTCAAGATATAGTAAACAGTTTCATTGGGAGTCCATCTTTGTCTGGAAGTAGAGATGCATACTGCATTTTATCCTCACATCAGGATATGACAGTCTCCATTACACAGTTACTATACATCCCCTTAAATGAGAAGCCACAAAACAAAATCAACAACAGGGAGCAAAAAAAGAAATTAATAACACCATGAAGGTAAATATCGTGCTACTGAATGACTAATGTGTTACTGAAGAAATGAAAATTAAGAAGCTTCTTGAAGAAAATGCTGCTTTTGTATGATCTATGAGTCAGTGAAGAATTTGATCAGAAGAAAGTGTTTTTGAAGAAACTAACAAAAATATCAAAATCCATGAGATATAGTTTCCACTTATCTTTGTTGATGAAATGTCATTCTTGTAGGTAACAAATTGATGGGCTTTATTTTTAATTCAGTCTACTAATCTATGACGTTTGAGCTTAAGCCAGTAACTTTTAGAGTTAATACGAATTAGGTGGTATTTTTGGTTCTGTCATATTAGTAATGGATTGTTCATTGATTTAGTCTTTGTTGTCATTTTACTGGGATGTTGCGCTCATTTGCCTTTGGTTTTGTTGGGTGCTATTCCTTTTCTCTGTTAAGAGAGCATCTTTAAGTATCATTTGTAGGGCAGGTTTGGAAGAGGCATAGTCTTTGAACTTTTCTTTACTGTGGGAGAATTTTATTTCATTTTCAAAGACAAAGGAAAGTTTTGCTGGATATGTTATCCTAAGCTGACATTTTTTTTTTTAATTTTTAGAATGTGGAATATGTTGCTCCATTCTCTTCTTGCTGTAGAGTTTCTTGTGAGAGGTCTCCTGTGAGTTTAATTGGCATTCCTTTACGTCAGCTGATTTTTTTTTCACATGCACATTTGAGGATATTTTCCTTATATTTGATTGAAGAGAGTTTGATGATCATGTGTCTTGGTGAAAACCACTTTTGATCAAGCCTGTTGGGAGTTTCATGCTCCTCCTGGATGTTGTTTCACAATTTTTTCTCTTGATGAGGGAAATTTTCCCTTATTGTTTCATAAAATGCATTTGTGAACCCAGCTTCTCTTTCTGCACCTTCTGGGACTCCCATAAGTCTTATATCTGGCCTCTTAATAGTGCCTTTCAATTCTTGAATACTTTTTTTGGCCTGATCCAGCTCTGCTTCCAGCTTTTTTGTTTGTTTCCCTGTGGTGACAAGAAATATCTTCTAATTTTGAGATTCTTTCTTCTGCCTCCTTCATTCTATTTTGGAGACTCTCCACTGTATTTTTAATTTGCTCTACTGTATTCTTCAATTTTGATGTATCAGCTTTCATTTGATTCATTTCCAGTGTGAAATATTTCTTGAATTTTTGAATCCCTGCTTTATTGTTGATAAGCAGTTTTATAACAAGTGCTTTGGGGCCCAGCGAGATGGCGCAGTGGTTAAAGGTCCTCGCCTTGCACGCCCGGGATCCCATATGGGTGCCACTTCTAGCCCGGCAGCTCCACTTCCCTTCCAGCTCCCTGCCTGTGCCCCGGGAAAGCAGTTGAGGACGGCCCAAAGCCTTGGGACCCTGCACCCATGTGGGAGACCCGAAGAGGCCCCTGGCTTTGGACTGGCATAGTATCGGCTGTTGCACTCACTTGGGGAGTGAATGATCGGATGGAAGATCTTCCTCTCTGTCTCTCCTCTCTGTATATACGCCTTTCCAATAAAAAAAATAATAAAAATAAATCTTTCTAAAAAAACCAAGTGCTTTGAATTCTGTATCCCCATTTTCTCAATGTCATTCTCAGTCAACTCTGAGGTTGGTAAAGGGTTTAGCTGCTTTACAGGGGAGTCTTCAGTAATATTCATTGTGCCTCTCTTTCTTCTTTTGCTCTTGGTCATTGTACTTCTGCTTATCAGATTCTTCTCCTTGAGACAGGTTTGTAAGCTGTGTCACCCACAGGTCTACAGTTCAGTATTACTTATTGCAGTTGGTACATGGTTCTTTGTTTGCAGTCAGTTGTGTCACTCCCTCCAGCGAGTTCCAGGTCTGGGTTCTTATGTTAGATTTCACCATGATCTCTGTAGCCCCAGTTCCTGCCTCACCAGTCTCACTGCCTCCTGCGATACTATGCTGAGGTTACAGCATTGTCTACACAACCTTTCTTCCACTTCTGGTTGGATTAGGTCCCAGGATTAGGGAGACACCAGGTGTCCTATATAGCTAGACCGTTGGTGATGCTGATCTTGCTTGCCCCCATTAGGGCTGGTGGGCCACATGGACCTATTTTGACCTGTACAATGCCATAGTCAGTATTATTTTCCTTGTTGCTGGTGCAATTCAGATTGCTGTTCGCTGAATGCAGCTGGAGTATCAGTCACTGTTACACCACATGTTGAGTCTGTTGTTTTCCTGTGTCTGTCTGTCCCCAGGTACCCCATTGCTATTGTTCTGTCCTCTCCTGTTTCCTGGAATATGCCTTCTCTGCTTCACACTGCCAAATATTTCTCCATCTGTTTAAATGTGTCTTTACCCTATTCCGCCATCTTGATTCTCCTGTTAGTGGTATTTGTAATAGAAAATATATTTTATTGTGGTGCTTAGAGAAAAGTTGAATCCTAAAAATTATGAATAATTTTACACACAAAAACACTAGAAATCTATTCACATTCTAATGAATGAATGAGATGCTGTTTTATCCTTTTTACTAGTGATAAAACATGACTGTTTTTCTATTGTTGATTAGTCTAACACACATATCTCCATCATAAAAGTATGCATGAAATGCAATGAATATTGAATATATAACTTCCTCTAAAATCTGTAGAATTAGAAATAATTCTACAGAAAGAGAGAAAAAAAAGCAGAGGTCTGCACAAATTCTTAAAATCCTCTGGGAATGTGTTTTAGAGCAGATAAAACAAGCTTAATCTCTTTTAGTGCTGTTTGAACATCATGAATAAAGCATTAAGCTGAAATAAAACATGGGGCATTAAAAAGTTATATTTAACTTTGAAGTATAACTTTGTTTTAAGATCTATCAAATAATAATTATGTTAGTTTTTATTTTATTTAACGGGCATGTCAAACTACTATAGATGGACGTTGGATATATATCAAGTTATGCAGAACTGCTCTACATTAAATTGTTTTCAATTCATGTTTCATGCTAAGAGAACTTAGCAGTTTTCACCCTGTAGTCCCCTGGCCCTTCCATAAGGCAGCACACAATAAGGCAACACAGTAAAGAGTGTTCTAAGGGAGGGAGGGAAGGCCTTATGATGTATATACCCTTTTTTGTAAAGAACATAGCAATGGTTTATCTCTCCATAGTAGGGAAGGTTCCATCTTAATTGCCAAGGGTTTGCTTTTTATTCACATTCACCAAGAAAGGCTTGCATTTACCCAAGAAAAAATTAAGGATGTTTGCTCTAAACCTAGATTGCTAAGTTCACTGTACTTCACTGGTTTAATTGGGGTTAGGAGAGGTTTGTAGAAAAGCATAAGGTTAATGGAGAAATAACGATCTCTGACCAAGTGTAGTGGGCCTTCGCTGCAAGAGGCTCCACTCCTGGTGCTGGTGGCCTGTTGATGAAGTCTACATGGAGTATTAAATGTGTAATGTGCACTTAGGTGATATTCTAAACAGCTACATGCTCTTTTTATGAGAAAATGAGAAAATATTTCAAGGAATTATGTCCAAAAATAAGAATAGATTTCACAACCCCTATTTACATTCACTGTTTATATGTGTTGTCATTCGTTCTTTGAGTCTTGATATTTCATAAATGATATTTAAAAACTGCTTTTTCTTCTTTTATTGATAATATTTTATTGATCTTCTTGTATTATCTTTTCTTATTTTATTGCAGCAATAATGCAAGTCCATGAGGATTTCTTCTATTATAAGGCAGGAATATACAGACATGTTGCCAGCTCAAACAAAGAATCAGAAAAATACCGAGAACTTCGCACACATGCAGTCAAACTCATTGGGTAAAGCTGTTTCTTAAAATCGTTATTTAATGTTTTGGGGAAATTAGACTGAACATAATAATATTTAAAGCAACATTATTTTTAAAGTTAAATTCTGTTTAAGGCAGAATTAGCCAACGTTACCAGCATCAGGAGACTGCATTAAGAAAATGTGGATTATGTAGTTAACTATTATTTATCCACAAAAGGAAGGAAATCATGTCATTTGCAAAATGGAAGGACCTGGAGGATGTTATGTCAAGTGATATAATCCAGATGCAGAAAGACATACACTACAACTGGCCCTCATTTGTGAAAGCTAAGAAAACTTCCTGCTGGTGAGCAGAGTCTGTGTAAAGTTCAGACCATTTAGAGTTTGGCTAACCAAATCAGAGTTAGATCTGAGGAAAAAATTCCAGGTGTTACACAGCATGGCTATAGTGTTATCAGACAACTCGGTGAGCATTTTATGAACAAATAGAAGAAAAAAGCTTCAAACCTCCAATCCTAAGGTATTGTAAAGGAGAAAACAGTGATTGCTCATATTTGATTTGTGCACATTGTGTAAATGTAGTGAAATGTCAGCATGCAGCTCGTTCATATGTAAAAGGTGAAATCACTACAGAAGTCCCCACAAGAAGAATGTGTGATGCACAGATATACCTAACATATTACTATTTAAGTATGTATCATCACTCCCAAATAAAAGGAGTACTCCCACTGAAAGAGTTAAATATGCCTTGAAATATGACATTGGCTGTTCTACTTTTGCCTATATGCAAAATGCCATGATATACTTAATTATCAGAAAGTTAACCTTGTAACTAACTATTACTAAAGCACTATATGACTATGATAATATGGAGGAAGAAGGTGAGGTAGGAAGGAGAGGGAGAATCCCTGTACCTACACAACTGCATCATGGAAATAATAATGTTGAGAAATATAATATATGTATATAATACTGGAAACATGATAAATAATGTTGAGAAATATAATAAACACAAGTATAAATATATAAATTAATATAAATATAATAAATCATACAACTTACATAATGCTTATATAAATTATATTATACATTTCTATTATATGATATTTATTTATTACTGTATTATTTTATTTCAATTTCATTTTATTCTTTATAGTTCTATTTTATTTTATCATATTTATTTTATTATTTACAATATTCTTATAATTTTGTATGTAATAAATTATGAATACATATTTTATATTCTATAAATATATGTTCTTAACAGATTGTATATAACATATGTTATATATTTTATCATTATTGTATTAAAGTGTTATTTTTATTTTATTACATTATAACTTAATTTTATTATGTTATTTGTTATTATGTATAAATAATATATATTTGCATATTTATATTACATTAATGATAAACATTATGTAATCTATTATTTATATATTAATTATATACATATAATTCATAATATATAGAGATAGATACAATAACGAAGTGAATGCATTTACAGATAATCCCCAACATGAGGAAATCCAGGCCTCATTTATTATCATTTTATAATATTATAAATGTAGCTTTTTTCAGCATTTCACTGTGTAGGGTTTTCTCAGTTTTAGTGTACCTATCTGTGGACACTTACTGTACCTGGAAACATTCTCTAATATTTTGAAATGTTTTCAGAATTTTTTCCTGTTTATTTGCTTTGATTCCCTTTTCAATTCATGCATGCAGTTTTTTGATGCATCTATTTCAGGGTTTTTTAGCAATTCAGTTTGAGCTACATATGCTTCATGTGTCTGTTTTCTGCATTCATTTTAGAAGATTAACTCTTTACCTAGCACTTCCTATTTTCTAGCTCAAAACCTCTACTTTTAAGACCCAATGCTCTTCTTTCCCTTTATGCTTTCTTTTTTATTAGAAAAGAGATTTATTAATTTTCACTTGAAAGGAAGAATTTGCATAAAGAGGAGAAACAGAGAGAGAGAGAGAGAGTGAGAAAGAAAGAGATTCCATCCATTGGTCTCAATATCCAGAGCTGAACTGAGCTGGCCAGGAGCCAGGAGCTTCTTGTGGGTCTCCCAGTGGGTGCAGGGCTCCAGGCCTTGGTTTCAGGGATAAGCAGGGATCTGGATTGGAAGTGAAGCAGCCAGGATAGGCTTATATGGGATGCCAGCACTAACAGGTGGAATATTAGCCCACAACATCACCGCACTGGCCCCCATACACACTTGCAGTGAATTCATCTGTGAAATGTCCCTCTTATCTGAAATAGTCTTTGTTACTTACAATTCCATGATGCATTGGTGGGGAGGGGACTTGTAGAGGTGTTAAGGAAATCCCGGAGCCTATGGAACTGTTTCATAAAATAATAAAACATTTTTTAAAATCAATGATGAGTCATAATACCTTCACGTGTACTCAGAATATTCTCTTCCTTGCTAGATCTATTAATTTAGCTTTATAATACCCTAAGAGTTCAAATTATCCTGTTTTGTACTTGTAACTAAAAAATTACACCAATTTCTCTTTAATTTGTAACAATACACGTCAAACCATTATCCAATACTACTGAGTAAGCAAATTCTGGATTAACATGTTTATGTTATGTCAAGCTTTTCTATTTTTTCTTGAATCGCTACGTCCTTATTCTTCTACACAATGATAACCTTATTTCTATTTCTTCACAGATTGAAACCATCAGAAGTCATTTGCAGTATCACAATTTCATAATCTTTCTTTGCACTTTTGTATGAGAGAGCTACCAATACTCCATCTGAATTATAGACACTCCTCAGATTTTCAAATATTAAGCAAAGGAAATTTTCCTTTCTCTTCTCTGTAATCCTTTTTGTTTCCTCCACCAAACAAAAAGATAATTTTCCATATTTTACAAGAAAACAAACCTCCATTCTCTTACTTGGGATCACTTTGCTCAATGCTTCATCGATTCCTCATGAAATCTCACCAGTCACTTTTTCATTATCCCTTCCCTCTTTATAGACATTTATTTCTAAGTTGTCTACTTTTACACACTGCTAAATCTGTTGTTCAGATCACAGACCTGTCCATTCCTTGTACCCATGACTTGCTGCGTTGTCTGTGGTGGTTCTTTTTCAGCACTCTGCTAACATTAGATCTTAGGCCTTGTCTCATTTCTGTTCTCACTCACTCTCTGCTGAGCTCATCAGTCCCTGAGCTCATTCTGGCTTCAGGTAACATCTAAAATATAGCAGCAGCTGAATTTATATCTTTTTCCCAGACCTTGTTCTTGAACTGCAGACTCATACATTCCATGACCTGTTTGACATTCTCTCTCAGATAACTTAGCTGAGGAAAGGGGGTAGATGCTTCGAATTCAGCACTTCTAAAACTGAGCTCCTGAAAATGTGTTTTATCTTTACTGAACAGTAGCAACTTTATCTAACTTAGTTGATGACAACTCCATCCTCTATGCTCTGGCTGGTAGTTTTGGAATCATCTTTTGTTCATCTCCTCATAGCTCATACTTTTTTCTTAGTTTTTATTAATTCATGTTATTTATTCAAGAGGCAGAAAAAAGAGGCTTTATCCACCAACTCATTCCTCTTGATGGCAATTGATCAGGAGTGGATTGAAGAGTGAGAAGATATAAATCAATAGATCAGAGATGAAAAAGGAATTTTAACAAGATAATGTGGACATACATAGAATTATTAGCAACTACTACAAGCAACTATATGCCAATAAATCAGAAGACCTAGAAGAAATGGATAGATTTTTGGACATACACAATCTACCAAAATTGAATTATGAGGCAATTAAAATCTAAACAGACCTAGAATAAGGATTGAGATTAAATCAGTAAATAAATGCCTCCCAACCAAGACAAGCCATGGACTAGACAGTTTCACTGCAGAATTCTACCAAATGGTTCAGGAACTTATTCAAACCCTCCACAAGCTTTCCAAACAATAGAAAGGGAGGCAATATTTCCAGACTCTATGAAGTCAGTATCATCTTAATTCAAAAGCCAGATAGAGATGAAATGGAAAAAGAGAACTACAGAGCGATATCCTTCAACAAAATACTACCCAACAACATCCAACAGTACATCAGGCCGATCATGCACCTGGGCCAGGTGGGCTTATCCCTAGAATGCAGGGATGGTTTAGCATTCACAAATCAATAATTGTGATATATCAAATCAACAAATTTAAAAATAAAAATCATTTTATAATCTCCATGGATGCAGAGAAGGCATTTGATAAAATCCAACACTACTTGATGCCAAAAATCTTAAGCAAGATAAACATAGAAAGAACATTCTATAACACAACCAAAGCAATATATGAAAAGTCTAATGCTAGCATCATGCCAAATGGGGAAGGACTGGAAGCTTTTAAGAACTGGAACTAGACATGGATGTCCACTTTCACCATTACTATTCAATATAGTATTGGAAGTCCTTGATAGAACTATTATGTAAGAAAAATAAATTAGGGAAGTCAAATGGGAACTGAGGAATTACAGCTACTCCTGTTTGCAGATAACATGATTCTATACATAGGAGAACCAAAGAAGACAACCAAGAGACTATTGGAACTCGTAAGAGACTTTGGTGTGGTAGCAAGATATAAGATTAATGAGCACAAATCGATGGCACAAGTATACACAAATAGCTACATGGCTGAGAAAGAAATTTCATTTAACTTCTAATAGTCTACTGTTAATATGGAAATCAAGATTTTATTTTTATAGCACTAGCCAAATGTTTTTACCTTTCATCCAGAACCATCAATGGTTTCCTATTTCCCTCAGAGTAAAGGCTGGAGTTCTTGCAATGGCTTACAAGGACCTACAACATTGGAAGACTCTCCTGTTTATTTTCTATTTCATCACATTTTTTTAAAATCTCAGCTTGATTTCTGTATCTTGTACTCCCTCCTCTGGTGATTCAATAATATTTCAGAAATATTGTTTTGTGGGCTTTCGCACTGGCTGAAATGTTGGTCTATCAGATGTGTCATTTCTAAGTTTCTGTGTAGTCTGTGTT